GAATTTGGTATGTTCAAATTAATATCAAGCCTTACAGTGATTAACATCTCTCGGCGCACCTGCAGCTCCACCGCCAATAACCACAATATCCTTATAGGCAAACTCCGGCAATTTTTCGAGGTCAATGAATTTCAATGAAATTCGCTAGGTACGTTTCTATCTACATTTTCGTCATTTATACGAATTTATATGCTTGAGAGATGCACTAATTCTTTGCAAATGAATTTCAAAGATTTCCTCGCAAAGCTCACTTCGCTTGCCAGGATTATTGGCAACATTGTCTGGCTGACGTCATGTTTGGCATGTCAACGGAAGTGACGCAGCTGATGCCAATGCTACTTTGGCCGCTACAGCGATTATTGTGGTGGCCACAAGGTGATGGCGGAGGTGTCTAACACGGGTATTGCAGAGGAAAGCTTTCTTCCTTCCTGAGTGGTGTTTGGCCAGTGCTTCACTTGCTTGGCTTTCACAGTTTTGATACTACGCGCCGGCGGGACCAGTATACGGCCTCCGGTTCTTAACAAATAGTACGTTGTACGCAGAAAGGGCACCCGTTCGGGTTTTAGTTTCGCACATTTTTCCTTATTAAAATCATTTGCGAATTTCCCGAGCATTTCAGCTATTGGTCTCGTGACAAGAGTATCTCAGGAACATAGAAACACTATTACCTTGACATGGTTGAAAAATCACCGAAGTTGGCCTTTAAGTCAATGAAAGTGGGCGTCGAGTCTTGCTCGTAGGCCATTTCAAGAATGGTTTTCAGAGATGAGACTTTAAAGGGCTTAGGTGCCACGTACTGCCCTACACTTGCTCGATCAAAATGATTTTATCGAAAACGGGTCACCAACACACAGCGTGGGAGCAATTTTTGTGGAGAGCGGCGCGTGCCATCTCGTTTGTCTCCTCCGCATGTTTACCCGCGCCGGTGCGTGCAGTGCGCCAAGCGGCATCGGCGCACTTCGAGGACCGGTTTCGGCAGCCGCTTTTCACACCTCCCCATTCTAGCCACCCTAGCGTTGTCGTAGCCATCTTACACGTGCACGTTCGTCAAGGCTCCCGTTTCATTGTTTGGTTAGCCTGTGGCACGCGTGCAGTGAGCAGCTGTTGATCGCACTCCACGCTTGAACTTCAGTGTGCATCAGTTACTTCCAAGTGACATGGCCAACGCGTCCATGGGTGCCAACCCATATGGAACTTTTTTTTGTAAAGGTCCCGCCTGGCCAAGAAGCTCAGTTTCTGAAGTGCCACTCCATTCTGAAGACGACGACTCTGGTGACACATTTAAAGAGGCACCTGGATGTTTTCGTGACATATGAAAAGGAATGTTGGGCACGGAAAAGCGTGAAGTCTACTGCTAAGCCTGACGTGCAGGAGCCCTCAGTAGCTGACCGGTTCAAGCCGAAGCTGAAACATACGGCGCCAAAAGCACAGCAAATGACAAAGGCCATTGCCGGATTCATAGTGCGCGGGATGCATTCCTACAGAGTTGTTGAGGAGCAGGGCTTTGTGGCCGTTATGAACGCTGCTATGCCCGAGTACATTGTGCTGTCGCGGACAACGTTTTCCCGAGCAATAATCCCGGAGCTCTATGCTTCGAAGAAGCAAAACTTGATGAACAGCCTTCAGGCGGTGATTGACGGTGGAGTCGAGGCAATTTCAATAACAACGGACAGTTGGACATCGCGTGCTAACGAAAGCTACTTGTCGGTAATATGCACATCACGGACAGCTCATTTCAACTTCATGTGCACGCACTGGCATGTACAGAAATGGCAGACGCTCACACAGCCGGAAACTTGTTGCTGTTTCTAAAAAGTGTGATGGAGGAGTGGGCACTTCCCGATCCAGGTACTGTACCAGTGTACGTAGTTACACATAATGGAAGAAATTTCACTGCAGCAATTACACAGTCGCCTTGGATAGGCATAAAATGTTTCGGGCACACACTGCAGTTGTGCGTGAGTGATGTCAAGCGGGATGTACCTGGATTTTCCCAACTGTGCACGAAGGCCAGGGCTATCGTTGGCCGCTATAATAAAAACTCAAAGGCTCGGGCGCGCCTTGTGTAAGTACAAAGGGAAATGCAGCTGAATGCCCTGGAAGTGGAGCAAGATATTCCGACGCGTTGGAATAGCGAGCATCAGATGATGACTAGGCTGCTCAAGCTTCGCAAACCAATCACCGTGAAGCTTTCAGAGTGCGATGCAGTTGATAACTTCACTGCAGCTGAATGGAAGCTGATGACTGCCGCTGTGAAGGTACTCGATCCACTTGCTCAAGCCACAACAGAGCTATGTGGGTACAAATATCCCACGTTGTCTCAAGTAATTCCACTGCTGAAGTGCACTGGCATTGTACTTGCTCGGCACACAGCTCAATCAGATGAGTCATCAGCAATTGCTTCAAGTCTGGCATGCAGCATCAAGGCAAGGTTTCCGGGTGTGAAGACATCTGAGAATACAGCCCTAGCGATGTTGCTAGACCCAAGGTTTAAGGATGCCTTCTATACAAAAAGGGCAGAGAAGAAGTGGGCCTGCAGTGTTCTTACCAAAGCAGCAGAGGGAACCCTGCAAGTTTTAGGCTGCAAAGCATCAACTGAGAGTGATACAGGTTTAGATAGCTCCCAAGATGCTTCTGTGTGGGGGGCGTTTGCTAGTATTGCATCAGATGGTTCTAAGATAACTGGTCCTTCCATCAAAGATGATGTTCAGAAGTACCTGAGAGCTCCCCTCCTTTCTCGCTGTGAGGACCCACTCGATTGGTGGAAGAGCAAAGGCAGCCACCTTCACCCGTCCCTTGTAAGGGTAGCCCGCAGATACCTCTCAGTGCCAGCAACCCAGACAACAAGTGAAAGGTTATTTTCGACAGCGGGTGCCATTGTGACCTGCAGGCGGAAGCACCTTCTTCCCCAGCATGTGGAGCAACTAGTTTTTCTCCATGATAATTTTTGACTTTCATTTTGTTAACTGTAGAAGGCAACACCTTTTACTTACATATAGAGCTGTGATACTTTTTTTATTGAAACATGTTATCAAACGGTCTTTTTTTTCTGTGTGATATAGCATTTTAACTAGTAGAGGGTGGCACCTTCTTCACTGCCTGTGGAGCTGCTAGTCTGAATGCCATTATTTTTTTACTTGAAATATATTACCGAATGGTTTTCTGTGATGTTTTATGTATATGTGTATGTTGTAGGTTTGTTATCAGTGTAGAAGGGAGCATCTTTTACAACTAGTCTACATACAAATTTTCTACTGGTTAAGATATGTTATTACAAGATTATCTGTGATTCCTTTGTATGTTGCAACCTCAAAAATAAAGAATTTTTGCATAAACCAACTTTGAACTGCTCAGTTTTGTTCTTCGGACACCTGACAACTATTCGAATTCACTTCGAAAGTATTCGACCCCAAGGGCTATTCGCTTCCAATTCACTGCGAACCAAAATATTACTATTCGTACATGCCTAAAAACAAGACATGCTTCACTGCAATACAGTGTGGACGCACGAACAGCATGTCGCATGCTTCTCTATACGTCAGCGCGTCATGATGAAGCCATTCTTTCTTGGAATATAAACAAAAACAATAGTAATAGACAGTCTGGTAGGATTCAGGATGTATGTGAACCTTTGAGTGCCGGTTGCTCCACCAATTTTGGCACTTGCACTGCTGTCCGAGTTCTTGCCTGCAACGCCTACTTCGAAAACTCGGTTTGAAAGCTTCACCAAACACGTTTTGCAGAAAAAACACGTCGCGAATTTCGTCACACTGTTCATTATTTAATTCTTTATTTCACTACAAAGAATGGGTTAATGGTCACATCATGACGTGCTGACGCAGTGAGGTGCAGGCGACATGCTGCCCACGTGTCACTGCTGTATTCCAATGAATATGTCTTGTTTTTCGCAGGCGAGCATTTTAGTTGAACCATGACGTGTTTTTTTTTTTTTTTTTTTTTTTTTGCAGTTGCAGCAGCGAGGCTTAATGTTTTCCCTTGTTTGTGACGAAATCGTGACCTGGTATTGCTGAAAAACGTAACCATTGGAGCCGCAAACTAGCCGGCACAGTAAACCACCAGCTCTGATTACTTTGAATAATTTCAAGATTGATTATTTCAAAAACTTGTTTAATTCAAAGATTTCTCACGGTTCATGTGACTTACAATTAACGAGGTTTTGCTGTTTTTGTCTCCGTTTCCCCATAAATTTTTTATTTGGAAAGATTTTTAAAATCATGTTAAGTGAAGTTGTCGTCTCAAGCGAGCGTTTTCTTCTGAACGCGCTTGAAATTATGCAGGGAAGGCTATGGTAAGGGCATGACACATCACCCAGAAGTTTGTCACTGTGAATTATGACCTTACGCATTTGCCCCCCCCCCCACTTTTCTTTGCTGTATTGACCACTTCTTTAGGGTTCAGACATGCACAGCACTGGTACGTGACAGAACCCTGTGGGTAGCAGTGATACCTACGCAATGCAGTACATGGCCTATGAGATCATCCACTGACATACCATTCATGAAACTCGCCAAACCTGCAGCATCTGTTTGCTGCATAGCTGTGCCTAGTAGCTTTGCATAGTTGGGACAACATCGCTAAGGAGAAGGCAAGCAATTTTTCGCTGTCTTTTGCATGTCACCTGCTGAATACAGTGCATATATTTGGCCCATATGTTCACAGGTTCCCTGTTTGAAAGGTGTTGCACAAACCTTTTTAATGTTTATTATACCTTTGTTACAAGAATGTTGAATACTATAAAGAATCATTTACACTGTTCTACAACAACCAACTCCAAAAGTGGCCAGAAAACAAGATCAGTGGAAACTGTGCCAGTTTATGAAATACTATGAATCACATCTCCCTTTCTATATGCATGTAAGGCCACACATTCAGGGTTAAGAGTCACTATAGGGTCCATAACACAGCTGAAATGCTTGCAGTGCTTCTGGAGAGAAAGATAACTTGAATAGAAAACTTCAACAGAAAGATAATATTCTCACCAGTAATGACAAGGACTTCCCTAGATCCAAGAGCTTCGGTAAACAATCGAGACACGATCAGCTCGGGGCACATCATGAACCGGATCTCTTCTTGCACGCAACCGCCACCCAACACACCTCCACCAATGAACTTGTTTGCGAAGTCAACCTTCAGTTATGGTAAATGAAAGCACAAACATGAATGTTACTTTATGTCGGAAAACTGATTTTTAACCACCATCCCAGCCCCGGAAAAAAAAAATTGCTTTATTTATTATTTCTATGGTGCATGCCAGCTGTGAATTAGGAGGCTGTTTTTTTTTTTAACATTACCATCACCAGCTTCACAGGTCAGTTAACACAAGCTTTGCTTGAATTGCTATGGCCAGCAACATAAAAACCAACAAACTATTTCAGTAAAAGCAGTAAGCTATCACGTTTGCATTTCCAATCGAAAGGTGGCCCTATTTCAACATGATTCCATTTGGTTAGAATTCTACCAGCAAGACTCACACTCCAAAACACCCACATAGAAGAGTGTGAAGATTTGTACAGATCACCTCTCCAAAGTGGCATGGCTTCTACATGCAGTACATAATCTGTATGGAAGCATATGTAAAGCTGATTGATATGTGGGGTTCAACGTCCCAAAATCACCATATGATTATGAGAGACGCCGTAGTGGAGGGCTCCGGAAATTTAGATCCCCTGGGGTTCTTTAATGTGCACCCAAATCTGAGCACACGGGCCTACAAAATTTTCGCCTCCATCGAAAATGCAGCCGCTGCAGCCGGGATTCGATCCCGCAACCTGCAGGTCAGCAGCAGAGTACCTCAGCCACTAGACCACTACGGCGGGGCATATGTAAGGCTAAGTAAAGCTTCTTCTCAATTACTCATAGCTGCCTCCCTCTCTATTATTACCTTATTTAACAAGTTATACAGACAATGACAACAATCGACAAAAATCATGTCCCACTGACCGCTTAAGCTTAGCTGCAGTTTAATCAGTAAACCTTAACTTTGACTGGTCGCCTGGTGTATATGCTACAAAATTGTATTGTGTTGCCTGATATCACAAATCAGTAAAACTCACTCACCTGCAGCATGCCCTGCCCCTCGCGTTCAATGAACCCCGACTCGGACACAAAAAGATTTCCCAGCTTGTGTTCAGAACTGCTCCACTCATAGGGCTCAGTCAGACACTTCCTGTGAAATGTCAGCATCCCAGTAGGCTCTACATGGTTGGAAAATAGATAAAGCATCACTGAACAGTAACAAGTCAATCTCTTAATTACAGTAGATCAAAGAACAAATAAACACACCAAAGAAATGTTAAGCACCCCTGGTAGAACCCACTAATTAAATTCTATAAACACTCATAGTAATGGCAATCCAGTGAAATGCACAAAACTGAAAATCAGTCTTTCAATTCCTGCCTTAGCTTCCAGTCACGTCGCCAGGTTTGGACGTTGAATGTTAGGGCGTCACTAATCATTTATTGACAAACAGGGATTACAATAATTTAAAGGAACCAAGCATTTCACTTAGTAAGCTCTCTTTTTCTTTTTTTCTTTTGCCACAATACTGTTCAAATATGTAAACAAAGAACTCAGAAGCTCGTGACATCATGTAGGAGGGTTGTTCATTTTCTGTGCCAGTAACTAGCCTTTTATACATAAAAACAAAAAGGCAGGTCACGAAATCACATCGCATGTAATGAATGCCCAAAAACGTGGCAAGTAAACGTTTAAAAAACTTGAACCATGTCCCCGAAGGGAACCATTATGGGATGCAAAGCAGCAGCATTGCACATGGGTCGCGTCACGGTTTATACAGCTCTAGTGCGGGTGCTGCAGTAAGCGCTGGAAGATTCCTTTCAAGCGATGGCTGGTGTAGCTCTTGTAGGTGACACATACAGAGATGTTTCAACGCGTACATTGGGCGCACCTCAGATTTATTGCGCGTGAACCGACTAGTCGGCGGTGTAGCGAGCTGAGGTTGCGGCAGCTGCGGGTGCCGCGACAGGCGAGGGAAACAGTGACATCAGCGCGCACTGCGAGGAGAGCGTGGCATCAATGTGCAGCAGCAGCGTGACCTACTTGGCACTGTGCCAACACCTGCGGCGCCGGCCGCGTTTGTACAGAGGGACAGCATTACACAGGCTAGTCAAAGAGCTGCTTCGAATGTAAAAACCCCACATGATTGAAATTTCCCGTGTTCTCCGCTGTAAAGTGCCTCATAATCACATTGTAGTTCTGTAATACAATAACCCAATAATAATCAATAAAGCAATCAAACATTTATTTAACATGCCCAAGAACAACCATAAGGTCCTTGTGCAGGTGCTTGCAAAAAATAAAACAATAAAATAACAATACGATACAGTCTTCAGAAAAAGAAATCAACTAAAAAGTGCGAAAATCCAGACTAAAAAATCAATGCTATATGGCATTAGTAGAAAGACAAGATGAGAATCATGGAGTGTGAGTGACTAATACTGATATAGAATATACACAACTATGTGGAAGGCTTCCTGAAGGAAGGAAAAGGAAAAAATCTGTACATTGTACAAAACCATGTTAAGACTGTGCAGAGCTGAGACAAAAACAATGACTGTGGGCTACGAAAAACATCAAGATCAAGAAAATTAACACTATATAGACTCTGTATTCTGTGAACGACAGAGTGTTGGAAGAAGCTGTCGGGTACATGAAACAGTAGATTCTCACTGGTCGAACAAGAGGGAAGTTGAAACCTTAACAGGTTGGTTGTTTGACAGAGGTCTAAGACGTTGCCTCTGCAATTGACAACTGTATTATGCTGCAGTAGAAAATTGAACACCAGAAAATCCAAGAGCAGGCTGCACTTTTTCTCAACGAAATGATTATAATGAGAAAAGGTAAGCGTGCTCCAGTGAATTCCAGGTGCACCAAAGTCACTAAGAACAATCATTCTGTGCCTACTATGAGACGAAATCACACGTTCAATGAAAGACATGGCATCATGAAACAAGGCAGAGGAAATGCTGGGTGCTAAATAGATACATCCAATCAACAATTTTTCTTGGCGCTCCAGGCGGATATCTAACCAGATAGATTCTACAAAAGATTCCAGGTCTTTCCGTCTAACCGATTTTAGTGAACTGTCAATGGCAATTGGCACGCCACCGCCTTTCTGTTTGGTTGCACTGAAATCTCAGTCGCTGCAGAAGGGGGTGAAGGTCAAGGGGAAAAAGTCAGATGAGAGAATATCAGGGCCCAGCCAGATTTCAAAAATAGCGATAATAAGAAAAGAAGACGAAAAAACATTAGCGAAAAATTTGTTTGTCTTGGTACCTAGACCGCAAGCATTCTGGTAGAGAATGTCTATTACACAACGCTTTCGACACCAGCCACAAGCTCAGAGGGATAAAGCATGTTGTCGTGCAGTACCCCATGAAAAGGCTTCAAGAGGCATCCCTGAGGCCACATCGAAGAGTCATTCAAGCGCTGTAGAGTTAACTTGTCAACCTCGATGTAAAAAGAAGAATAGGTCTGAAATTCAGTTTGAAAGTGCTGGCAAGAGATGAAAGACAGATCCATTGAATGAATGAAAGAAAAAACTTTTTTTCAGTCCTGCTTAGCAGCGGTGGTGTCCTGGCTCAACTTTGAAACAAAAATGGCTTTGGGCCACGGCGGCCGATGTGGCGGTTGAGCAACAGAAAGAGCCGAAGTGGTCATTGCCCCAAACGAGGCAGGTTTCTTCTTTCCTTCACGTGGAAGAAGAGCTGCAGAAGAGGCTGTCGCAGGAATCACGGTGCGTGGCTCGGACGTGTCTTCAGCTGGTGGCGAATTCGACGGGAAAAGTGGATTTAAGAGAGGTCGAGTGCACAGGTGGCTTAGAAATCGCAGGTCAATCACCGTTCTCCCCCACTGGGAGGGCCACAGCTGCCTTTACTGGCACCGTCGCAGTACGGTTCGTCGGCACCCCAAGCAGGAAGCAAACCTCTCCCCGAAGGGAGGCGATGAAGCGGGCCTGCTGTTTCGCACTCCGAGACTCATCCTTACGCAGGTGCTCGTTTTCTACGCATAGTTGGGATAACTCGTTGCTGAGGAATGACATTCCCTCCAGCGCGTTGAGGAGGAGATGGCACAGACCGGCAAGAACACCACTCGCAAGGGCACAAGAGGGTGGGGGGAATCGGTTTGAGAGCTGCATTGCTCACCGCAGCAGGCCGCCGAGTCGTCTTCACTAGGCTTACCATCAGCATGGCTCGGATCCCATAAATTGCGGCAAAAGTAGCGTGATCCAGACAACAGAAGTTGCAGCTCTTCAACATGTCAGGTTACACACTTTGCATGAAGACGTTTAGAGCAACTTTCACAATGGGAAAAACTGTTGCGTACCTAAAAACGGGCAGGAACACAGCAAGCATGCGTCCTGGCTCGAAGCCATGGTGCAGAAATAATAATAATTATTATTATTATTACTAATGTTATCATTGAATCTGGCAAGGTGGGCTTTTGATACTCTATAAAAATAGTCAGTCTGTGTAACACTTATGAGCTGAGCAAGTTCTACATGATTTCCTTCCATAGTGGCATTTATTTTTAATGCTTATTGTGCAACATTGTGTTTCTCTTCCTACTACCTCTGAAACAACAAGAATTCAACAGGGCTAGTTGACACCACTTTTGTGCATTGTAAAGATTACAGTGCTAAGCCATTTCTAGAACTGACTTAATAAAAAGCTCACTTGAAGTTGCAGATTACCAAATGCTCTCAACCTCCCTTCCCCACCTTTTTTTTTCTTTCACATTTATGGGAAAGATATGACAATGTCCGCCATAAGGTGCTTTCCATTATTACTACACACAGCATGCGACACTGTAAAATCTATGCAAGTCACTCTTACACCAGAAAGTATGTTTTAAAAACGACGCTCTTTCTTTGATTACATGAATGTAAAATTTTGGTCTGTCTGTCTATCTCCCACAAGATTCAGCCATCCGTCCAAAGTTTAGGCAATTGCTGAATACCCACCCATTTTGAACAAGTGGTTGCGTTCATACTTATGAACATTGTTAAACAAAAAGCAAATGTTACGCTTACCCAAGGCACAACTTCAATCCCTATATATTAGGTGGTGTGTTCCTTTACTAGAAAACACATAAATACAAAACTCTAAAGACCCTAGTGTTTCTAAAGTTGTGCTGAAAATGCGACGCTATGCACGCAAGAAGGCCGGCTGAAGGCTATCGTATCTCGACGAAATCTGCAGCAAAGCAAGCTGAAATACGGCGAATTTTTTTTAAATCTGCAATATCTTTTACAAAATGACACCTTCTCAAATTACCCTCACACCTTTCGGATGCAAGTTTGCATTGACTCAGATACCATAACTCACATTTTTGTTATTCCAACAGGCACCACACTATGTTCTCATAATACGTGCGGTTGATACACTGTGAATATTGGCCAAACAGGCGCGTGAATCCACTTAATTCGCATAATATACCATAATTACTCGAATCTAACGCACACCTTTTTTACGGTTACGAGAGTTCATAAATCGCATGCGTGTTAGAATCGAGTACGAAAAAAAAATGAATGCGGTTAATCTATTGCCATCGGCATTTCTAAAATGGCCGCCCCTACATGCGTCAGCATGGCGCGTCGGCTATTTCTGCCTATGTGTTTCCCATGTGCGGCACTTCGTACGTGTGCTGAGGAGTTCCTCATCTTGTAGTGCATTAGCATCGACGGCGCGGAAGGGCCGACTCCAAAAACTCGAGTGCACCACGATGCCGCTTTTAAAAGAAAAGTCATCGCGTGTGCAGAAGCGGAAGGAAATCGGGCCGCATCGTGGTCGTTAGGAGTTCCCAAAACGTGCGTGCGGGACCGGCGGAAACAAAAGCAGAAGATTGTCGTTAGCAAAGCTTCACGCAAAGGCTTCACTGGACCACAGCAGGATCGGTTTCCGCAAATTAAAGAGCTGCTCGGCGAGTATGTGCTTGAGCAGCGAGCGGCACAGCGGCCCGTGACGACAGAACTGCTCCAAGTGCGGGCTATGCAATTAGCCTTAGAAAAAGGTCTAATGCGGAGCCAGTTTAAAGCGAGCAGGTGCTGGCTAACTAACTTTATGAAGAGGAAAGGCTTTTCCCTCCGAAGGGGAACATGCATATGCGAAAAGTTTTGCGGAGGAGTACGATGAAAAGCTTCACAGTTTTCAAAGGTTCGTCCTAAACTTGCGGC